AAACTACCCTCCCAGAGGTGTCCACCTTAAACAATGGGGTCCCCAAACGAGCAGTTCTCCTCAATAGCAAGGTTGTAGCTGGCACCCTTCCCATCTTTGTAGGTGCTGGTCACAATCTTCATCCAGCCGTTCTCGCCCTGTGGGAGGAGTGAAAACCATGCATCAGCTCGTCCTCTGTCCCAGCCCCTGTTCCTCCACCATGCAGCACAGCCTGGGAGGACACCAGGGACCCAAAGAACCCACTCAGCCACCCTCACCCTTCCCATGAGCCCTATTTGGAAATGTCTTTTGTGAAGTATTTCACTTGGTTATTATTTAACAGGAGGGCCCTCCATGCCAAAAGCTAATTGGTGTGACAAAGCAAGCCGACTTGCTACACCAGATGACCTACCTACCCATGTGCCAGCACCCCACTTGTAGTCACTGACTAAGAAACACCAACATCCCATCACTTCTGCACCCGCCATGTCCCGTTTCATAGTAATGAATTTATGTTTCTTAAACTTAATGGTTGATACTAGGTCTTAAAAATTAAGACCCTGCCAATTAACTTATCTCCCCTAGGTTTTTTTTTTTTCGACCCAATTCAAAAGTGATTTTGAAAAACGTACATAGTACTTCCTAGGAGACCTAAACTATGACGGGAAAAAGAGATGACTGTGAAGAGGGAGGTAGCCGAAGTGCAGCCGCACAGTGGTGTGGGGACAGTTAGGTCGTCACACGTGGGGCTAAGGGAGGAACTACTGGCATCTAGTGGGGAGGGGCCCAGGATGCTCCTCAACACCCTAAAGTGCACAGGACAGTGACAGCCCCACACAACAAAGAGGTATCTGGCCCCAAATGTCACTCGCACCACAGGTGAGAGACTGGGCTGCAGCAAGAAGCTCCTCTGCTCAAGGCCACAGTTCTCAGCCAGGAGTCAACAAACCGATCAAGGAGTATCAGAATTCTTCTAGGTATGACCTTGAGGAAGTGAAAACATCTTACCCATGGTTCGCCCCATGAGTTCCGGACAATCCAGTATTCAGTGCCATCGCTGATGCCCCACCCAGCCACAGAAATGACATGGTTGATGTAGGCCATATCGTTGTATTCGGCATAGATGCCTCCCGTGTAGTTCTCCATTCTTTCTGTTGCCATAATACCGCAGCTGAGAGCAAGCATTTAAAGAATCACCACTTTAAATTGAGAGAATTTTCATTGTTAGAAACAGTAACTCAGTGCATAGCAGACGATCTGGATAAACTTCTGCTGTTAGTGTTTTCCCTGCTGAAACAACCCCACCAACTCCACAACACCTGCTACAGCTTGCGGAGCTGGTCATCTGTGTACTTCACACAGCAATCCCATAAGGGGCAGATTAGTTATGACCTCAGTTTTACTTCTGAGGAAACTGGAGTTCTTAGAGGTGAAACTATGTGGCAGCTTTGTTCCAAGCTTAGTGAGTAAAATTGGCCAGAAGTACGGGTGAAAAT